AGGGTAGTAGTTTCTGAATTTTTTATCGAATATGCATTAAGGGATATATGAATTGCTTAGTAACCGTATGGATTATCAATATATATGTCTGTGTATGTGTATAAAAATTCTGGAAAGCCCATTATGTGCTTTAGGGTAGGAGTTTCTGAATTTTTTACATCAAAACATGCGAGAAGGGTTATATGAATTACTTAGTAACCATGTGGAATATCAATGTTAATGTCTGGGTTCAGAGGCTGCGGTATTGATGATTCAGGATTCCTCTCCTGCTTCAGTTCCTAACCTCAAGGATACTTAGTTTTTAGCACAGGCTTTTTAGAATTGTCACATAAGGCATTCGTTTTTGCAGACATTCACAATAGGATATCAAAAATGAGTCAAGGCACATCCCATGTTGCCAAAGCTGCTTATGATGTAATAGGGGAGCTAGGAAAGATGTACACATGTGTTGGGTCAGATTTTCGAGGACTGGTCATTTACTCTGTCAGTGCTGTCTTGTTCTCAAAATGTCTCAGGCATTGGAAACAACTGCTTTTGGTGCCCACATCTCAGAGTTCCTTGACTGACAAAATGCAAATTAGCAAAACTTCTAGTGAGTCATCAGCACTAATCAGGGATCTCTTGAGTGTCGTCATGTGGTAGGAAATAAAAAGAAAGATGACTGGTGCTTCCTTAAGGGTACAGGGATGGTGTAACCCCTGAGAAGGTATGAGGGCTACGCTAGGCTGAGCCAACACTGTTTACTACCCCTTTCTGCCAAGTACTAGTGCAAGCATGACCCCCAAACCTGCCTTTCCAGTGCTGTGCCATTAGATTCTGAGAATTACCTCCTCAATGCCAGCCAGGCCTCATTAAGTTGTATTGTGAACAATACATGGTTTTTATTTTCCTTGCAAGCTATTAGGCAACTTAACTCTGTGGTAGCATTGTTTTATCAGATTTGAATGTTATAAAATTAAGCCCATCTCCATTTTGTCCCGTCTTTCTAATCAGGTGTTCCTTTGAATTATTTAAATCTTCTTTGGTATGTGTTTACATTTTCACATTATCTGCTTAAATCTTTTTCTCTTTTCATATACAGTTTTTTGTTGTTGTTGTTGTTTGTTTGTTTGTTTTTGTTTTAGTGACAGTACCTCAGATCCCAAATCCTTCTCTTACTAGTTCCTACATCAGATGTTTACTCTTTCTTTGCCTACTGCTTCTTTGCCTACTATTTCAGGAATCTCTCTTAAGTCTCTGGCTCCTCCCCAGTCTTTGTGGCTTCATAAAAATATCATGTGGTAGGTCTGTGAAGTTTGCCTTTGTTACCTTTCATCCAAGTTCTATCATCTTTTTTAAATTTTTAAAAAAATATATATTTTATTGATTATTTACAGAGAGGAAGGGAGAAAGATAGAGAGAGTTAGAAACATCGATGAGAGAGAAACATCGATCAGCTGCTTCCTGCCAATCTCCTATTGGG